GGTGAGTGTGTGGGGGTGAGTGTGGAGGTGAGTGTGGGGGTGAGTGCGGGGTTGAGTGTGTGGGGGTGAGTGTGGGGGTGAGTGCGGGGGTTGAGTGTGTGGGGGTGAGTGTGGGGGTGAGTGCGGGGTTGAGTGCGGGAGTGAGTGTGTGGGGTGAGTGTGTGGGGGTGAGTGCGGGGGTGAGTGTGTGGGGTGAGTGTGTGGGGGTGAGTGTGGTGGTGAGTGTGGCGGTGAGTGTGGGGGTGAGTGTGGGGGTGAGTGTGGGGGTGAGTGCGGGGGTGAGTGCGGGGGTGAGTGTGTGGGGTGAGTGTGGGGGTGAGTGTGGGGTTGAGTGCGGGGGTGAGTGCGGGGGTGAGTGTGTGGGGGTGAGTGCGGGGGTGAGTGTGGGGGTGAGTGTGTGTGGGGTGAGTGTGTGGGGTGAGTGTGTGGGGTGAGTGTGGGGGGTGAGTGTGGGGGGTGAGTGTGGGGGGTGAGTGTGTGGGGGTGAGTGTGTGGGGGTGAGTGTGTTGGGGTGAGTATGGGGGTGAGTATGGGGGTGAGTGTGGGGGTGAGTGTGGGGGTGAGTGTGGGGTTGAGTGTGGGGTTGAGTGCGGGGGTGAGTGCGGGGTTGAGTGTGAGGTTGAGTGCGGTGTTGAGTGTGGGGATGAGTGTGGGGATGAGTGTGGGGGTGAGTGTGGGGATGACGCAGTGATTAGCGTCTTTGTACATAATTAGATCAGTGTGCGTGTGAGAGGCTGGTAACACCTCCACTGAGCACGAATTCACACCCGTAGCCGTGGCGGTAACACCCAGCTAAGCCTGTGCTGGAGGCCCTGGGAAGGAGAGGCTGTCTATGAAGCTCACTGCTGAGGAGAGGCCTCCGTTCCTCTGTCGGGAGCTGGACCGGTACTGTCTGGACCTCTGTGGTGTCCAGGAGGTACTGTGGACCGGTTGGAGTCACCATGAGGGGTGGACAGTTCTCCATTCGGAGCAGCAGACTGCCAAACAACAGGGTGTTGCTCTTCTTCTGAACAAAATAATGAAGGGGGTGTGGGAGCGTGGCGGTGAGGTGTGGGAAGCTGTAAGCCCCAGGCTACTTTGGGCTCGCCTTCCCATCAACCGGAGGCGAGGAGTGGTGGTCGTGGTTACTTATGCCCCCACCGAAGATGAACATACGTGGAGGGATGCAGGTAAGGCCGATGAGTCAGATGCCTTCTATGACCTGTTACAGGTGCTGGCTAAAGTGGCACCTCGGGATAGTCATCTTGTTGGGTGACTTCAATGCCCGAGTTGGTCATGATGCTGGCACCTGGTCTGCAGTGATTGGAAGGCATGGGCCAGATAAGCTCAATAACAACGGCAGGAGGCTGCTAGACTTTTGTGCAGCCCATGGGCTTGTAATTACCAACACGCTGTTCCGGCATCGGCGCATCCACACATCATGGATGCATGCCTGGTCCAAGCAAGAACATCTGCTGGATTAAATAGTGATGGAACATCGAATGCAGGCCCATGTCCTTGACACCAGGACGTACCGTGGAGCTGATCTGCCCACTGACCATCGACTTGTCATCTGTAAGATGTGCCTGCCATTCTTTCACTCCGGTGGTGGGTGTACACCCAGGACCCCATTCAAACCCTTAGTGGCATGGTCTCAGGTAGCTGATAAAAGTTGCAAGCGAGCATTTAATCAATCGCTTGCGGCTGGGGTTGGCATCGTCCCCCATTCCTCCTGATGTCGAGGGAAAATGGGCAAGGTTTAGGACTGTGGCTCATGCAGCTGCAATGGCTGTGTTGGGTACACGGTCCAGACCTCCCCAGAGACCCTGGCTGACAGAGGAGGTGTTCAATCTGGCTGAGAAAAAGCGACAGGCCCACTCTCATCGGCTACAGCATCCCACGTCAGAGAATGAGGAGGCTTACTGCAGCCTTCGCTTGGAAGTTCGGAGAGCCGTGAGGCGCTGCAAGGAAGGGTGGTGGTCGCGGGTTGCTGAGGAGATGGAGTCTGCTTCAATCGCCCGCGATCACACATCGCTCTTTAACTCCATCAAAAAAGTAACCTGCAGCGCCACAACTATTACCATCATTAGGGGAAAGAACGGTGATCCAATCACCGACCCCCATGAACAGGTTTTGCAGATTTGCTGAGCATTTCTGTGAGGTCCTGGGGGAGGGGACATCCCTCAGCCTGGAAAACATGTGACAAAGTGGGGATGACGCTGCTGAGGCTGCAGTGCCTCAAATATTGGAGGAAGTCACCCCCTGTGAGTGGCAGGCTGAGGTGTCATCTGTTGAGGAAGTACTAAAGGCGATCCAGGGTCTGAGACCAAGAAAGGCACCGGACAGAGAAGATCTCCCAAGCAAAATGCTAAGGGAGAGTAGCGTTTGTGCACAGACTGCCCTACATGAAATCATAACAAGTCTGGACCACAGGACGGATTCCGCAGGATTGGAAGGATGCCCTGGTGGTCCCCCTCTTTAAGAAGGGGGACCGCACAGACTGTAACAACTACAGGAACATCTCACTCCTCAGTATGCCAGGAAAGGTCCTGGCAAGGATTATTCAACATCGCCTTGCTAGGCACGCGGAGGAGAGGCTTGCTGAGCCCCAATACGGTTTCAGGAAAGGGCGGTCCTGCACAGATGCCATATTTCTGTCCGTCTGCTACAACAGAGGTGTAGGGAATTCCAACAAGACCTGCATCTCTGCTTAATTGACCAGGTCAAGGCCTATGATACCATCAGTAGGCTTGGGCTCTGGGTTGCTCTTCGTGCTTTTGGAGTCCCTGACCCTCTGCTCATGATCATTAAGGTCGTTCATGATGGTGAGCGGGCCCAGGTAAAACTACGTGGCCGGGAGTCGGAGCCATTCCCCGTACACCTTGGGGTGCGACAGGGATGTCCTCTGGCCCCCACATTTAACATCTATTTCGACCACGTAGTTCATGAAGCCTTCAATAGATGTACCGGAGGAATTTCCATCTAGTACAGATATAATGGGAGGCTGATCGATGCCCGGGTGCGGTCAAGGGATGGCTCCCTATTGCTCAACCACGTTATGTATGCCGATGATTTGGTAATAGCTGCTCATTCAGAGGAGTTGGAGACGCTGCTGCTGAGACTGGAGCGTGCCACTAAGAGATGGGGCCCTACCATCAGCCCCACCAAAACTAAGCACCTGCCTGGGTATTTTGTACCATCAGACACTCCACCCCCACAACTCCCAATCAGTGATGGGGCAGTTGTGGAGAGAGTGCAGAGTTTCCCATACCTGGGCAGTATGCTTATGACCGGCTCCAGTTTAACAGCAGAGGTCTCACTCCGAATCAGTCGAGCGGCAATATATTTTCATCGGTTGCGTAATGCTGTGTGGAAGCTACCTGGTCTGTCGCTCCGCACTAAGCTTCAGGTCTTCTCGGCCACGGTCATTCCGTCCCTTCTCTACGCTTGCGAAACGTGGACCCCCCTAATGGTACACCTTCGCCGGTTATAAACGTTTAAGCTGGCCTGCCTACGATCCATCCTGGGTTTAACAAGACTGGATTGTGTGAGGAGCTCATAAATCCTTGAAAAATCTGGACAAGGTCCCATCAGTGAGCTCCTTCGGCAGGCAAGGCTGCGTTGGCTGGGTCATGTAGCCCGCATACCCAGCCACCACATGCCTAAACAGCTTTTGTTCGGCCGGATCGAGGGGGCTAAACGGGCACGGCACGGGCTAGAAAGGAGATGGAGTGATGTGGTACAGGAGGACGTGGAGCTGAATGGACTTGCCGATGACTGGTACCAGCGGTGTCAAGATCGGCCTCTGTGGAGGAGGCTCGTGAAGAATGCTACTGGGAAGATGGAGGCAGTCGCTCTCCAACAACAACGGAGGGTGGAGGAGCGATGCTCACAACAACGAGCGGAGCGCCGGGTAGCTAAAGCACAGGTTGGCACAGTAGGGGGCACAGGTGGAGCATCAACCAGTCATCTCAGTCAGTCGACCCGTGGCACCTGGGTCTGCCCCGTGACCTCCTGCCAGCGGGCATTCGACACTTCATGTGGCCTCAAGGTGCACATGGCCTGGCACAAGCATCGTGTGGACGTCACCGCCACTTAGTGGCGAATGGCGGTTGTTGTTGTTGTACTCTGTCTCTATGTGTGTGTGTACTATGTGTGTGTGTACTCTGTGTGTGTGTGCACTGTATGCGTTTGTATATCTCACGAGCGAGTTCTCCGCACATAGTCTCTGGTAGAGAGTAGAGACACTGAGACAGACAGAGAGACACTGAGACAGAGAGACACTGAGACAGAGAGACACTGAGACAGAGAGACACTGAGACAGAGAGACACTGAGACAGAGAGACACTGAGACTGAGAGACAGAGAGATATTGAGACAGACAGAGAGACACTGAGACAGAGAGACACTGAGACAGAGAGACAGAGAGATACTGAGAGAGACAGAGAGAGAGACACTGAGACAGAGAGACACTGAGACAGAGAGAAACTGAGACAGAGAGATCACTCATTGTTTTTTTCGGTAAAGTCACGTATGTAGAAATACAATAAAATCATATTAAAACCAAAAACAATCACGAAGTTTCGATCACAACGCAAGCGATCTTCATCAGGTGTCAAGAACAAATCACAGAGGTAAATACAACAAAAAGATGAGAGACGAGAATTCAACAAACCGTGACTTTACCGAAAAAAACAATGAGTAATTTTATGCAGTCACGAAAGCTTTAATACTTTATTAGACAGAGAGATATTGAGACAGACAGAGAGACACTGAGACAGAGAGACACTGAGACATTGAGAGAGACACAGAGACAGAGAGACACTGAGACAGAAAGACACTGAGACAGATAGACACTGAGACAGAGAGACACTGAGACAGAAAGACACTGAGACAGAGAGACACTGAGACAGACAGAGAGACACAGCCTGTTGGTGGTGGTGGTACTCTGTGTCTCAGTGTTTCAGTGTTTCAGTGTCTCAGCGTGGTGGTGGTGGTTGAGATAGAGAGAGTACTCTGTGTCTCTGTGTCTCAGTGTCTCAGCCTGGTGGTGGTGGTGGTGGCGGTGGTGGTCTTGGTGGTGGCGGTGGTGGCGGCCTCCGTCACCGCGTGGCCGCTGGTGCAGCGGCAGCGGTGGCGCTGCAGGAGGTGGAGGAGCAGCAGCGGCAGCGGTGGCGGCGCTGCCTCCTGGCCTCCGTGGAGACGGCACGGAGGAGCTCCGCCTGGGCGCGGAGCTCCGCTTGGCGCTCTCGCCGCTTGCCGCGGAGCCAGCTGGACAACAACAACAACAACATGAAGAACAACAAGAAGAACAATAACGACAAGAACAAACAAGAACGACATGAACAACAGAAACAACAAGAACAACAACAATAAGAACGATGACAAACAATGGCTGGTTTCCTGGCAGGATTCCTGAATGGATTCCTGGCTGGATTCCTGGATGGATTCCTGAATGGATTCCTGGCTGGTTTCCTGGCTGGTTTCCTGGATGGATTCCTGGCAGGATTCCTGAATGGATTCCTGGCTGTATTCCTGGATGGATTCCTGGCTGGATTCCTGAATGGATTCCTGGCTGGATTCCTGAATGGATTCCTGGATGGATTCCTGGCTGGTTTCCTGGATGGATTCCTGGCTGGATTCCTGGATGGATTCCTGGCTGGTTTCCTGGCTGGATTCCTGAATGGATTCCTGGATGGATTCCTGGCTGGATTCCTGGCTGGATTCCTGGATGGATTCCTGGATGGATTCCTGAATGGATTCCTGGATGGATTCCTGGATGGATTCCTGGCTGGTTTCCTGGATGGATTCCTGGCTGGATTCCTGGATGGATTCCTGGCTGGATTCCTGGATGGATTCCTGGCTGGTTTCCTGGATGGATTCCTGGATGGTTTCCTGGATGGATTCCTGGCTGGATTCCTGGCTGGATTCGTGGCTGGTTTCCTGAATGGATTCCTGGCTGGATTCCTGGATGGATTCCTGGCTGGTTTCCTGGCTGGATTCCTGGATGGATTCCTGGCTAGTTTCCTGGCTGGATTCCTGGCTGGTTTCCTGGCTGGATTCCTGGATGGCTTCCTGGCTAGTTTCCTGGCTGGATTCCTGGCTAGTTCCCTGGCTGGATTCCTGGATGGATTCCTAGATGGATTCCTGGATGGCTTCCTGGCTAGTTTCCTGGCTGGATTCCTGGCTGGTTTCCTGAATGGATTCCTGGCTGGATTCCTGGATGGATTCCTGGCTAGTTTCCTGGCTGGATTCCTGGCTGGATTCCTGGCTGGTTTCCTGGCTGGATTCCTGGCTGGATTCCTGGCTGGATTCCTGGCTGGTTTCCTGGCTGGATTCCTGGATGGATTCCTGGCTGGATTCCTGAATGGATTCCTGGCTGGATTCCTGGATGGATTCCTGGCTGGATTCCTGAATGGATTCCTGGATGGATTCCTGGCTGGATTCCTGGCTGGATTCCTGAATGGATTCCTGGATGGATTCCTGGATGGATTCCTGGCTGGTTTCCTGGATGGATTCCTGGCTGGATTCCTGGATGGATTCCTGGCTGGATTCCTGGATGGATGCCTGGCTGGTTTCCTGGATGGATTGCTGGATGGTTTCCTGGATGGATTCCTGGATGGCTTCCTGACTAGTTTCCTGGCTGGATTCCTGGCTGGTTTCCTGAATGGATTCCTGGCTGGATTCCTGGATGGATTCCTGGCTAGTTTCCTGGCTGGATTCCTGGCTCGATTCCTGGCTGGATTCCTGGCTGGTTTCCTGGCTGGATTCCTGGCTGGATTCCTGGCTGGATTCCTGGCTGGTTTCCTGGATGGATTCCTGGCTGGATTCCTGAATGGATTCCTGGCTGGATTCCTGGATGGATTCCTGGCTGGATTCATGAATGGATTCCTGGATGGATTCCTGGCTGGATTCCTGGCTGGATTCCTGAATGGATTCCTGGATGGATTCCTGGATGGATTCCTGGATGGATTCCTGGCTGGTTTCCTGGATGGATTCCTGGCTGGATTCCTGGATGGATTCCTGGCTGGATTCCTGGATGGATTCCTGGCTGGTTTCCTGGATGGATTGCTGGATGGTTTCCTGGATGGATTCCTGGCTGGATTCCTGGCTGGATTCTTGGCTGGTTTCCTGAATGGATGCCTGGCTGGATTCCTGGATGGATTCCTGGCTGGTTTCCTGGCTGGATTCCTGGATGGATTCTTGGCTAGTTTCCTGGCTGGATTCCTGGCTGGTTTCCTGGCTGGATTCCTGGATGGCTTCCTGGCTAGTTTCCTGGCTGGATTCCTGGCTAGTTCCCTGGCTGGATTCCTGGATGGATTCCTGGATGGCTTCCTGGCTAGTTTCCTGGCTGGATTCCTGGCTGGTTTCCTGAATGGATTCCTGGCTGGATTCCTGGATGGATTCCTGGATGGATTCCTGGCTAGTTTCCTGGCTGGATTCCTGGCTGGATTCCTGGCTGGATTCCTGGCTGGTTTCCTGGCTGGATTCCTGGCTGGATTCCTGGCTGGATTCCTGGCTGGTTTCCTGGCTGGATTCCTGGATGGATTCCTGGCTGGATTCCTGAATGGATTCCTGGCTGGATTCCTGGATGGATTTCTGGCTGGATTCCTGAATGGATTCCTGGCTGGATTCCTGGCTAGTTTCCTGGCTGGATTCCTGGCTGGTTTCCTGGCTGGTTTCCTGGCTGGATTCCTGGATGGATTCCTGGCTAGTTTCCTGGCTGGATTCCTGGATGGATTCCTGGCTGGATTCCTGGCTCGCTGGCTGGATTCCTGACTGGATTCCTGACTGGCAGCATCCCTGGATGGATTCCTGGATGGATTCCTGGCTGGCAGGATTCCTGAATGGATTCCTGACTGGCTGGATCCCTGGCTGGATTTATGGCTAGCTGGCTGGATTCCTGGCTGGATTCCTGGCTGGATTCCTGGCTGGATTCTTGGCTGGCTGGCTGGCTGGATTCCTGACTGGATTCCTGGCTGGCTGGATTTCTTGATATCTGGCTGAATTCATGACTGGCTGGCTGGATTCCTGGGTGGCTGGATCCCTGGCTGGCTGGCTGGTGCGGTGTGCATAAGTGCGTTGTGTGTACGTGTTGTGTGTACGTGTGTGTACATGCGGTGTGTGCCTTGTGTGTATATGCCTAAGTGCGTGTACATGCGTTGTTGTTGTGTGTTGTTGTGCGCCATTGTGTTTGTGTATACTGTGGAGTGTGTACGTGCTGTGTGTGTGTGCGTACATGTGCTGTGTGTGCGGTGTGTGTTTGCGGTGTGTGCGCTGTATGCGGTGTGTGTCTATGTATTTGCGATGTGTGTGTGGTGTGTGTGGTGTGTGTACGGTGTGTGTGTGTATGTGCGGTGTGTGCGCGGTGTGTGTGTGCGGTGTGTGTGTACGTGTGGTGTGTGAGGTGTGTGTATGTATGTGCGGTGTGTGTGTGTGCATGCGGTGTCTGTGTGTACGTGTGGTGTGTGCGGTGTGTGTGTATGCACATGCAGTGTATGCGGTGTGTATGTGTGTGTGCAGTGTGTGTGGGTGCGATGTGTGTTGTGTGTGTGTGTGTGTGCGGTGTGTGTGTGCGGTGTGTGTATGTGTGTGCGGTGTGTGTGTGTGTGTGCGGGGTGTGTGTGCGGTGTGTGTGTGCGATGTGTGTGTGCGATGTGTGTGTGGTGTGTGTGTGTGTGTGCGGTGTGTGTATGTGTGTGTGCGGGGTGTGTGTGTGTGCGGTGTGTGTGGTGTGTGCAGTGTGTGCGGTGTGTGTGTGAGATGTGTGTGGTGTGTGTGTGTGGTGTGTGTATGTACGGTGTGTGCGGTGTGTGTGTGCGTTGTGTGTGTGTGTGCGGTGTGTGTGGTGTGTGTATGTGCGGTGTGTGTGTGTGTGTGTGTGCGGTGTGTGTGTGCGATGTGTGTGTGTGTATGTGTGCGGTGTGTGTGGTGTGTGTGGTGTGTGTATGTACGGTGTGTGCGGTGTGTGTGTGCGATGTGTGTGTGTGTGCGGTGTGTGTGGTGTGTCTGGTGTGTGTGTGGTGTGTGTGGTGTGTGTGTGGTGTGTGTGTGGTGTGTGCGGTGTGTGTTTGTGCGGTGTGTGTGTGGTGTGTGTGGTGCAGTGTGTGTGTGTGCGGTGTGTGTGTGCGGTGTGTGTGTGCGGGGTGTGTGTGTGTGTGTGGTGTGTGCAGTGTGTGCAGTGTATGTGTGGTGTGTGTGTGTGGTGTGTGTGTGGTGTATTTGGTGTGTGTGTGTGCGGTGTGTGTGTGTAGTGTGTGTGTGTGTGTGCGGTGTGTGCGGTGTGTGTGTATGTGTGTGTGTATGTGTGTGGTGTATACGTGTGTGTGTGTATGTGTGTGTGTATGTGTGTGTGTGGGGTGTGTGTATGTGTGTGTGTGGTGTGTGTGTGTGCAGTGTGTGTGTGTGTGGTGTGTGTGTGCGGGGTGTGTGTGTGTGTGTGCGGTGTGTGTGTGCGGTGTGTGTGTGTGGTGTGTGTGTGTGCGGGGTGTGTGTGCGGTGTGTGTGTGCGGTGTGTGTGTGGTGTGTGTGGTGTGTGCAGTGTGTGTGTGGTGTGTGTGGTGTGTGTGCGGTGTGTGTGTGTGCGGGGTGTGTGTGTGTGTGTGCGGTGTGTGTGTGTGTGTGGTGCGTGTGTGCGGGGTGTGTGTGGTGTGTGTGGTGTGTGCAGTGTGTGTGTGGTGTGTGTGTGTGGTGTGTGTGTGGTGTATTTGGTGTGTTTGCGGTGTGTGTGTGTGTGGTGTGTGTGTGAGGTGTGTGTGTGAGGTGTGTGCAGTGTGTGTGTGTGTGGTGTGCGTGTGGCGTGTGTATGTGTGTGTGTGTGTGCGGTGTGTGCGGTGTGTGTGTATGTGTGTGTGTATGTGTGTGGTGTATGTGTATGTGTGTGTGTATGTGTGCGGTGTGTGTGTGTATGTGTGTGTATGCATATGTGTGTGTGTGTGTATGTGTGTGTGTATGTGTGTGTATGTATGTGTGTGGTGTGTATGTGTGTGTGTATGTGTGTGTGCGTACGTGCGGAACGCGCGCTCAGGATCGCGTGTCGGTGACCGCTCGCCGCCGTGCGCCCACTGGTGACTCAGAGCGTCACCGCCACCGCCACCACCGCCACCATCACCGCCACCACCACCACCGTCACCGCCGTGCCACTGCCGGCGCCGCTCCTCCTCCTCCTCCCGCTGGTGCCGCCGCTGGGCGCTCTTCTGGCGGAGCCACGCCGACACCGAGGGGCCCTGCGGTGGCGGCCGCCGGCAAGACTGCGGCACCACCATCACGGCGTCAACAACGACAACAACATTCACCCCCCGTGTAGCCTCTAACAGGCTGTAGGGGCAAGTGCTGTTAGTAGCGAGTAGCAGCAGCGCCTGTGAAGGTAGACACAGACAAAGTTCCCCCGTGTAGCCTCTAACAGACTGTAGGGGCAAGTGCTGTTAGCGAGCAGCACCTATGAAGGCTACCGGCACTGTGGCACACGAGGGAGTGGGTGGCTACCAGCACCACGCCCGGCCGCCTTTGTCTCCCCCAGTGGCGATGTCTTACTACACACAGCACCAGGTGACTAATTTGAGGCTGAGTCGATCTAGGGGAGGCCCAGGACCGGTTCAGCAAATCGTCACTGGTGGTGTTGGTGGCCGTGAGCGGGAATCGAACTCGGGACGCCGGGTTCGTAAGCTCAGCGTAGCGCTAACCGCTGCACCACCGCTGCACATGAGCACCTGGTGCTGTGTGTAGTAAACATCGCTACTGGGGAGACAAAGGCGGCCGGGCGTAGTGCTGGTGGCCACCCACCCCCCTCTTGTGTGCCACAGTGCCGGTAGCCTTCACAGGTGCTGCTCGCTAACAGCACTTGCCCCTACAGCCTGTTAGAGGCTACACGGGGGACCTTTATCTGTGTCTACCTTCACAGGTGCTGCTGCTACTCGCTACTCACAGCACTTGCCCCTCCAGCCTGTTAGAGGCTACACGGGGGGTCTTTGGTTGTTGCTGTGGTTGTTGGCACAATTGGGGGCACAGGTGGTGCATCTGCCAGTCATCTCAGTCAGTCAACCCATGGCACCTGCTGGGTCTGTCCCGTGACTTCCTCATGCGCCTAGCCTGGCACAGCAGTCAACCCATGGGATCTGCTGGGTCTGTCCCGTGACCTCCTCATGCACCTAGCCTGGCACAGCAGTCAACCCATGGCACCCGGGTCTGTCCTGTGACCTCTTCCTGCACCTAGCCTGGCACAGCAGTCAACCCATGGCACCTGCTGGGTCTGTTCCGTCACCTCCTCATGCACCTAGCCTGGCACCATCAGTCAGCCCACGGCACCTGCTGGATCTGTCCCGTGACCTCCTCCTGCACCTAGCCTGGCACAGCAGTCAACCCATGGCACCCGGGTCTGTCCTGTGATCTCTTCCTGCACCTAGCCTGGCACAGCAGTCAACCCATGGCACCTGCTGGGTCTGTTCCGTGACCTCCTCATGCACCTAGCCTGGCACCATCAGTCAGCCCACGGCACCTGCTGGATCTGTCCCGTGACCTCCTCCTGCACCTAGCTTGGCACAGCAGTCAACCCATGGCACCTGTTGGATCTGTCCCGTGACCTCCTGCACCTAGCCTGGCACAGCAGTCAACCCATGGCACCTGCTGGGTCTGTCCCGTGACCTCCTCATGCACCTAGCCTGGCACAGCAGTCAACCCATGGCACCTGCTGGGTCTGTCCCGTGACCTCCTCCTGTCAGCTGGGAGTGGTTGTGTTGGCGATTGTTGCTGTGGTGGTGGTTTTGGTGGTGGTGGTTGTGGTGTTGTTGCTGTGGTGGTGGTGATTGTGTTGGTTGTGGTGGTGTTGTTTCTGTGGTTGTTGTTGCTTTGGTGGTGGTGGTTGGTCGTTGTGATGGTGACGTTGTTGCTGTGGTTGTTGCTGTGGTGGTTGGTTGTGGTGGTGGTGGTGTTGCTGATGTCACCCTGAGCTCCTTCTCGGACTGCTCCTGCTGCTGCTGCTGCTCCTGCTGCTGCTGCTGCTTGCGCTGCAGCCACTTGTGGAAGGCAGCCTCACATTCCCGTCGCCTCTCCTGCACCACCACCAACGCCACCACCGCAGCAACCACCACAACCATTGCAGAAACAACCACCGCAACCACCACAACTACAAACATCATTGGGGCGGTGGCGATGATGATTGAGATTATTATTATTGAGATGGTTTGTGGTGATGATTGAGATGATGATTGAGGTGGGGAATGATGTGATTATTATGGTGATTGTGGTGATGATGATGATGGTGGTGGATGCTGATGATGCAGCTGTTGATGATCAAGATGATGGTGATGCTGTTGATGACCGTGAGGCTGACGCTGATCACGACGCTGATGATGCTGATCACGACACTGATGATGAAGATCACGACGCTGATGACGATCGCGACGCTGATGATGATGAAGATCACGACGCTGATGATTAAGATCACGACGCTGATGATGATCGCGACACTGATGATGATGATCACGACGCTGATGATGCTGATCACGACACTGATGATGCTGATCACGACGCTGATGATGATCGCGACGCTGATGATGATCGCGACGCTGATGATGATCGCGACGCTGATGATGATGATGATGATCATGACGCTGATGATGATGGTCACGACGCTGATGATGATGATGATTGTGACGCTGATGATGATCACGACGCTGATGATGATCACGACGCTGATGATGATCGCGACGCTGATGATGATGATCACGACGCTGATGATGATGATGATCGCGACGCTGATGCTGATGATGATCGCGACGCTGATGCTGATGATGATCACGACGCTGATGATGATGATCGCGACGCTGATGCTGCACCTCCTCTCTCAGCCGCCGTTCCTCCTCCTCCTGCTGCACCTTCCTCCTCCCCCCTCCCCTCCCTTCCCCCACCCGGCCCCTGACCCCACCACCACCACCACCGCCACCACCGCCGCCACCGCCGCCACCGCCACCACCACCAACCCTCACCGGGGTCTGAACCCCGACGTCCACCCTCGGTGACCTTGACGGTGACCCAACAACAACTGCTCCGACCACCTCCTCCACCACCTCCACCACCTCCACCACCTCCACCACCTCCTCCACTTCCTGCTGCTGTCCATGCTGTGCGTGGCCATCTTCCCCATTCCTGCCGCTGCCGCTGCCACCGCCGCCGCCGTGGGCTGAAGTGGAGCCACTCAGGAACTCAAACTTCCCGTCGCGCTCCACCACGATGGCCTCGTCCGCCTCTCCCGGAGGACGAGGCCAGGCAGCCCCTCCGTCAGTCTCCTCCCCCTCCTCCTCCTCCTTCTCCTCCTCGTCGTCGTCGTCATGACCACCGACACCTCGTCCACTGCCTACTCCTCCTCCATCTCCTCCATCTCCTCCTCCATCTCCTCCATCTTCTCCTCCATCACCACCTCCCCCGATTCTTCCTCCATCTTCTCCTCCATCTCCTCCATCTCCTCCTCCATCTCCTCCACTGCCTACTCCTCCTCCATCTCCTCCATCTCCTCCTCCATCTCCTCCTCCATCTTCTCCTCTATCTCCTCCATCTTCTCCTCCATCTCCTCCACTGCCTACTCCATCTCCTCCTCCATCTCCTCCACCATCTCCTCCATCACCACCTCCTCCTCCATCACCACCTCCTCCGTCACCATCTCCCCCTATTCTTCCTCCATCTTCTCCTCCATCACCACCTCCTCCACCTCCGCCATCTTCTAGCCATGTAGCTCCACCACCTCCTCTGCCTCCAACGCCTCCTCCACCTCCTCCAACTTCTCCACCTCCTCCTTCATCGCCTCCTCCTCTTCTTCGTCGTCCTGCTCCTCTCCCGGCCGCTGAGGTGCCCGTCCGGCCCAGCCGACCGTCCGCTGCTGCGTCTGCGTTCTCCACCACCTCCTCCTCCTCCTGCTGCTCCTCCTGCTGCTGCTGCTGCTGCTGCTGCACCGCCTTCACCACCGAGGGTGGACGTGAAAGCGGCCGGCGTCCTGGCCTCACGGCATCGTCGTGATCGTCGTCGTCGGAGAAGGAGTCACCGCTGAACTCATCCTCGCCATAATCGCTCTCGCTGCGCACGCCGCCGCTGTAGCTGCCATCGTGGTCCCCCTCCTCCTCCGCCTCCTCCTCCGGCGTCTTGCCCCTGCGTCCGGATGCCCGCGCCGGAGCCGTGGTGCCTTGGGTGGGGGCCTCCTTCCCAGCCATTCGCGGCGACAAACGTCTCCTGGAATGGTCGCATCGGGTAACCCCACACCACCACCACCGCCTCACTGGTTAGAGATCTGGGAGACTGCGCACACACACACACACGCTGTACACCATGTGTACGCACCGCGCACACTGTACACACGGCACACGCTGGACACACACACACACGTCACGCACTGCATACTACACAAACTATAACACTACACACACGCACTATACATAGTACGCACACACTATACATACCATACACACACACGCTATATATGTCTCACACACTACACTACACACGCCATAGTGAACCCGCAAACTATCGCCCGCTCTCAATCCCGAGCACTGATTTCGAAAGGTCACAGTGCGCCCCGCGTCCGAAGCGGCCGCTACTTCCCCCAACGTCGCTGCGACGGGCGGAATCAACCCCGTTGCAGTCGGCGTCATCGGAAGTTGCACAGCGACGGAGACGGCTCCGGCTTTCCAAGATCACCGATGACCCTCTTACAAGATCACCGATGACCCTCTTACAAGATCACCAATTGGCGCCGGCTTGCGCCAACAGCCTCGTTTGGCCTCCCGTCTCTCGGCTGCCTTCGACGACCGTCGGCCGTGAGATGGGTGGCCCATCGGGCAGGCTACGGTTAAGATTCGGTGGCCATGGGGTTACGGGCACGGGGGTGGATCGAGTCGCTACCTGCGCGGTCGATCGCAGTGCGTTAAGCTTGGCGGCCAAACGCTCATCGCGCCCCCCCCCCCCGCCCTACAACGTATCCTGGCCGAGTACGGTGCCAACAGTGAAAGTTGGAGAACCGCCAAGGTAGACGTGAACTCCCTGCCGACCCCTCCTGCCTGATGAAAATCTGTCGCGTCTTCCGGCCAAGCAAGATTTCAAACCGGGACCCGTGCATCGAGACCGCTTCAAGATGCGTAACGCGGGAGGGGGGGGGGGGCACGTAACAGCGAGAGAGAGGGGACTCGGGTGGTTGGGGCACGTGCTGAGAACGGAACCCGAGTCCATGGACACCACGAGGGAAGAGACCACGGGGGGGGGGGAGGCCGTAGGCCACCTGGCGACGCGTGGGGAGCCACGGGCCCCCTTGCTACTCACCGACCGCCAACACCCGTCGTATTTGCGTCACATCAAGTCCTATCGGTGAGCCGAGGACGCACGCGTTCGTGTCACAGCGGCGTAGTTGAAAAAATCTGGCAACGGAGGCGGCCTCGGGCACCGCGTGGGGTCAAGCGCGGGCGCGCGAAACGAAAACGGTGGCTCAATCGAGGAGGGGGAAACTAAATAGGAGGTCCTCCGGGTCGGCGCTCGGGGCTCGGGCGACTAAAACATTCGCGGGCGGGATCGTTCGTGGCGGTCGTAGACTGCAGGGTCCAGTTTCATGTACACGACCAGAGCACTTTTTTTTTGTTTCCATGTTCACCGCAAGCACAATGCCTGGTTAAATGCAGTGACGTGATTCCTCGCAAAGGGTTTCAGTTTGGTGTTTAAACATCTTAACGCCTCCTGTTTTATTGCCAGAACGGGTAAAACCTATTCTGAAATTCAGTTTCCTACTCGCGTCTAAAGAGCCCTCGGGCACCACACTTACTCAGCTACTCCGCTTCGCTCCCTGTGGAGCGCAAGGCCTCAACAGGCCACGGCCATGCTGGAAGACCGCTAGCAGCTTTCTCTGCCTCACCCCAGGACGGTCCCCCCCCACGTTCTTCCGTGTGTCTTGAACGGTGCGTCGCCAGGTGGTCCACCGTCTGCCCCCGTGGTCTCTTCCCTTGTGGTGTCCACCGGAAGGGCAAGTTTTCGCTATCGACTCGGGTTCCATTCTCAGCACGTGCCCCAGCCACCCGAATCCCCTCTCTCTCTGTTATGCCTTCCCCCCCGCCCCCCGCGTTACGCATCTTCAAGTGGCCTCGATGTACGGGTCCCGGTTTGGAATCTTGTTAGGGCAGAAGAAGCGACAGACTTTTCTACCGGGGTTTCTGCGACAGCCTGGACCGCCACAGTTGGGTTCGTGCCATAGCCCACACGGTCGGCGGCGTTCGCGGCGTAGTGGCACACCGACCAAGTCTCGACGGGCGCGACAGCTCGCCGGCTCTACGGGACGTCCGGCAAGAGGCATCACCAAAGCTGCGGCGATTACAACGCTCCACGGCGCGTGTCGTGACGGGGGTCTACCGCGAGATCCGACACCGTGTCCGCCCATCGCGCGCCGTGCCGCTTTTGCTTCCGGCCGGCCGAACGTGACCCGGCGTCACGAGGTGGCACTCGTTACGCGCAGAGTGCTTTGCCGCGAAAGAACCCGCAAAAGCCTCGCTGATCGTAAACCGCGATCAGTGAGGCTTACGGCCAGGCCATCGGGACAGAGGCGGCGCTTTGAGACGCTGCTTAAGCGACCGTCTGGAACGCTCTTCCCTTCCGATATTCGGGAGCCCTTGGGAGCTATGCTGCACTTTTGCATCAGCAACATCGAGATTACCAAACTCATTTCTTCAGAACTGCTGCTGCTGTGTGTTTAATTTGTTGACCTTCCCCTGCACCTCCGATTAGCACGGCTGACTAAGTACATTGATAAAGACGTTTAACATACATACACGCTATTTCGAAATTTACACACTATACATACTACACACTATAGTACTACACACACACTATAAATACTACACACACTACACATACTACACACACACTACAAACTACACACACTACACACAGTACACACACAGTACACACACTACACACTAGACACACTACTTACACACACACTACACACTACAACCAAACTACAAAAACACACACGCACTACAAACACACTACATACACTGCAGACACACTACACACACCACGTTACATACACACACACTACATACACACATTACATACACACACTACACACACAAACTAAATACACACACACTACACACACCACATTACATACACACCACACACAGACACTACACACACACTACACACACACTACACACACTACACACTACATACACACACACTACACACTACATACACACACCACATTACATACACACACTACATACACACACTACACACACACACTACACACTACATACACACACACTACACACTACATACACACACCACATTACATACACACACTACACACACACACTACACATACACACACCACATTACATACACACACTACACACACACACTACACACACCACATTACATACACACACTACACACCACATTACATACACACACTACATACACACACTACATACACACACCACACACACACTACACACATTACATACACACACTACACACACCACATTACATACACACACTACACACTACATACACACACTACACACTACATACACACACACTACACACTACATACACACACTACACACTACATACACACACTACATTACATACACACACCACATTACATACACACACACACTACACACACACACCACGTTACATACACATATTACAATACATACACACACTACACACACCACATTACATATACACACACACTACATACACACACTACACACACCACATTACATATACACACACTACATACACACACTACACACTACATACACACACTACACACACCACATTACATACACACACTACACACACCACATTACATACACACACTACACACACACCACGTTACATACACATGTTACACTACATACACACACTACATACACACCACATAACATACACACATTACACACTATATACACACACTACACACACTACATACACACACACACTACACACACCACACTACACACATTACATACACACACTACACACATTACATACACACACTACACACACACACTACATAAACACACCACATTACATTAATACACCACATTACATACACACACACACTACATACACTACACACACACACTACACACACACACTACACACACTACACACACACACTACATACACACACACTACATACGCACACACTACATACACACCACATTACATACACACCACACTACACACACCACATTACGTACACATACACACTACACACACACTACACACTACATACACACTACATACGCACACACTACATACACACACTACATTACATACACACCACACTACACACACTACACACACACACCACACACACACTACACACACTACACACACACTACACTACACACACTACAAACACACTACACACACACAATACACACACACTACACACACAATACACACACACTACACACACTACACACACACTACACTACACACACACTACAAACACACTACACACACTACACACACACAATACACACACACTACACACACTACACACACAATACACACACACTACACACACACTACACACACACACTACACACACACACCACGCTACACACACACAGACACACAACACACACACAGACACACACCACGCTACACTACATACACTACACACACACTACATACACACACTACACACACACTACACACACACATTACACACACTACACACACACCACACTACACACACACTACACACACTACACACACACACCACACTACACACACACTACACACACACAATACACACACACTACACACACTACACACACACAATACACACACACTACACACACACCACACTACTGTACCGCTCTCCGCTCTCTCTCTCCCCTCTCGTCGCTTTCCGGCGTCTGTGGTTGCCAGGGGATCGCCACCACGACACGGAGGCACGCCTCCTGCTACACACACACACCACGTTACATACATACACACACTACATACACACACTACACACACACACCACGTTACATACACACACACACACACTACACACACTACACACACACCACGTTACATACACACACACACACTACATACACTACACACACACACCACGTTACATACACACACTACATACACTACGTTACATACACACACACACCACGTTACATACATACACACTACATACACACACTAC